TAATTTCTTTACTAAAAGTTTTGATTAGTCAAGATTTAGTAGTTAGATGCTGCCGTTGTTGTCAGATTTATTATTTCTTTCTCCATCAAGTTGTTGGGTTTTAGACAGCTTCCAAAGTGGCATTTAGTTTTTAATGTTATTGCTTGCCTTTGTTTACTTTAATTATGATTACTTTCAACACTTGGTTTATTCTAAAATATACAGTTGTCTCATTTCTCAATTTTTCCTATCCTTTTGTCCATTTGTATTGAATCCCCGTGACTTAAATAAACTGTAGTTAAGATCAAGAATATCTTGATAGGGTCTGTTTCTCCATAATGGATATTTCTTATTTAGCTCTGTATCACTGATATGATATTATAAAATGTCTTTGCACATTTTCCCACGAGTACACAATTTTGAGGGCCATTTTTCCCCTTCTTCACTTAGTGTATTGTGATCTTGAGGTGGCCAGATAAGATTAGTGCTTGAGGATATTAGAGGTGTGTATTGCATTTAAAACCCACTTTGAAAATAAAGGGCGATGTGCATATTATTCAGTTTTTGCACTGCCCTTTTTATGACTTCAGATCCTCTAAAACAGAAGTTTTCAAAGTATAGTCTAAAGATTCCTGGGGGGTTCCTGAGACACCCCCGACCCCTTTCAGAGGGTCTGTGAGGTCAAAACTATTTTGTCATAATATGAAGACATTTCCCTTCACTTATGAAAGTACAGTGGAATTTTTCAGAGAGTGCATAATGTGTGGTTTTATAGTAGACAGTGCAGAGCCGGAGGAATCCAGCTGCCTTGTATAAACTAGAAATTAAAGAGACTTGTAAAACTTCAAAAAAATAGCACAGAACTCTAAATTTTTTTGTTTTAGAAAATATATTCTTATTAGAAAATGTTTATGTCAATATGGCATGAATTTATTGTTTTTTAAATAAATTAGTATTTTTTTAATTCTCATTTTTAACCACTAATGTAGTAACTAATGTTAGATATAACTCATAAACAAAAAATTCTTGGAGGTTTTCAATACTTTTTTTTTATTCCAAAGGGGTCCTGCAACCAAGAAATTTGAGAACTGATGCTCCCAAAATGTTCCTGCTTCTAAAAATTGTATCTCCTTGGGGGAAGACAAAGATCATATAGCACATTTTCCTTTTTGCTTGGCTTCCTGACTTGAGATAATGTAAAAATTAAAAATACTCACTATTGGTTAAAGGCAATCAGTGGATCCAAGCAAAAATACAATAGTGACTCCTATCGTTTTGTTAGTCAATACATTTAAATGCCTCCTACCAGGTGTACATGATTATATCTCGACTTTTAATAATCTTTCTACACCAAGTAATTTATAGCAAATGATTCCTGCCTATATTTTTAAAAGCGCATGACCTTCAGTATTTCATTGCTTTATTTTGTTTTTAAATTTTTCCTCTGTTAGTGCATAGCTCCTAAATCTATTATTTTTTCTAAAATTTTTCTCCAGTTATCTGGTCTAGCTCTCCTCTATGGAGGGCCAAATGGTGTTGTTTTGTTTTGTTTTGTTTTGTTTTACTTTGGACTTAGAACACAAAACTACAATTTCTATTCAAGAAAGCCAGAACAATATTTAATAAGAATCTTTATATGATTGGTACTTTGCTAAACCAGTGCTTGTAAATTTATCTCATTTGTTGCTATTGTGTTGCTATTTTTGGTGTCGTTTTCTTCCCAAAGCAATGGAGTCTCTTAGTTGGGTTAGATTGGGAGTGGGGGAGATCAATATTTTCCGTTGATCCTAAACTGCAATTCTTAGGTATGTTCCAAAGCAACTCTATGAGAAACTTGCATTTTTGCCTTCAAACTCAGCTAATGCAAGATATAGCATCTTCCTCCTCAGGGGTCTGGTGGGTTTTCCCTGGGTGTCACTAAGGCTTAACATGGTCCTCTGCCTTCTCACCAATCCTCCTCTTCCCATGACCTTCCCACTCCTCCATCATTCTCCCCTCCTCTCCTTCACTATGATTCCCCTCTCATGTCCACCCTACACAATCAGGCATCTGTTTGGGAGTCACACAATGGTTGGGTTATGGCTCCACTACCACATGCCTACACTGGAATCCCAACTCCATGTGTCTAGTTGTGAAGTTGCACATGTCTCTGGTCTTTTTATGCCTCAGCTTTCTAATTTGCAGAACAAGCATTAATGATTTACCTCATTTACCTCACGGAGCTGATACGAAGATTAAACGAGTTGATAGATACAAGGTGTTTATAATAGTGCTTGGAATACAGTAAGTGTGTAGGACATTTATGATATTATTGTCTACACTTTATAATTATCCACTAGAAAAAGTGATCTTGACCTGATAAGACAGGAGCAAAAGCAACTTTCTTTTGTCTCATGATTGTCCTGGCAAATCAACTCTGTGAATCCATTCTTCTCCTTCGTGAATAAAATTTCAAGCCATTCCCATAGCTTTTCCAGTCACTCTTGAGTAAGGGAAAGACCAAAACTTTAGACTTGTCCAACTTTAAACTTCCTCCTTCCCCCAATGTGGACCTTGGAGATCTATAATTTGTAAACAGAGGGAATAGGAATACCTGTTAGTTTCTTCTCTTTCTCTTGCTCTTTACCCTCCACCTGATCATGCTCCTTCTAGGGTTGTTGTGAGGGTGACAGTGAGGAGAGGGAGAAGAGATGGAGGGTTAGCAACGGTCTTCCCAGACTGGTGCATTCATGGTCCAGCATCTGTGGTCTCTGGGTGTGGCCAGTGTCAAATGCCTGATGTTCTTTCCATGTGGGACCCATTGCGGGACAGTTCTCTCACTTCAGGTACTCTGAGGAATCAGTGGTTCCTCAACCGCCTATGCCACCTCCCTCATGTTCTGCTTCCTGAAATGCTGAGGCAAGATGGCATCACCCCAGCACGAAACTTATGCTTATGTCTGGTTCCTTTCTGCACATCCCCATTGAACCTGTGAGAAATGTGTACCCTTGTTTAGCTCTTCCTTGAGGGCAGCTGAATCTCATTGAGGCCCTCTCTTCTTACTCCCTGTTCTAACCACCTCTGTTTTTCACAAGTGAGCTGGATATCAGTTCCTATTTTCACCAAATCACTAAGTGAGACATGTCAAGCACCACAAACTGTGACAGTGAAGCTATCCACCTTCTCTTACTTGGCTTACAAAGAAAGACTCTCTCTCTTCCTGTAGCGGATAGGAAAGGAGAAAAACTGAACTACCCTGGCTATTTTTTCTCTTAACCCAACAGAAAAATGGGCAAAGGTTATAAATGGGTAGTTCACAGAAGAGGAAAACCATAAAGCCTATACTAGGCCAGTAAACAGAGAAAGACAAATTAAGCCAAACATAAGATACAATGTTTACACTGTAGCTCAGCAAAAGTTAATTGCACAGATTTGGTAAAGATGTTAGGAAACCGTAAACACACTGTTTGTGTGAGTAAATATTGATGGAGTTTAAAAATTTTAAACCTACCTTTTGACCCCACCAGATCTGCTTCTAGCTATCTGTCCTAAAGAAACACAAGCAAAGGGGCACCTGGGTGGCTCAGTGGGTTAAAGCCTCTGCCTTCGGCTCAGGTCATGATCCCAGGGTCCTGGGATCGAGCCCCATATCGGGCTCTCTGCTCAGCAGGGAGCCTGCTTCCTCCTCTCTCTCTCTGCCTGCCTCTCTGCCTACTTGTGATCTCTGTCTGTCAAATAAATAAATAAACAAAATCTTTAAAAAGAAAGAAAGAAACACAAGCAAAAACACGCAAAATCCAAATGCTAGAAGGCTTATTACTGCATTACTGGTAACTTTTAAAAACCTGAAAGTCCACCAGAAAGGGACTAGAAAAGTAAATTATGCTACATTCAACAAAATGGATACAAATGTTAAATAGAATAAGCTATAGTGGTTTGTGGGAAAGGTTTCAAAGATGTTATTGTTAAATGAAAGAAAACCTGTAAAAATTAATATTAATCATACATTTATGTAAGAAAATGGAAAAATCAGGAGTATTTCCTTGCATACATATATTCATGTTTGTGAATTCATAGAAAAACATTCAAACCATTTCAAAGTGAAGAGTGATTACTTTTGGAGAGGGATCTGAGACTAGGGAAGCAGGATCAGGTAAGACTTCCACATTCACAGTAAGAGTATGTTACACGTGTGATAAAACATAATTTACAAAATAATTTAAAATAGAATGAAATGAGTGGAATTGCTAGAAGCGATCTTTAAGATCAGCTCAAATATGCCACTCTGTATTGGTAGTTGGATTTACTAATCTTCAGAAAAGCCTATGAGAACATTTATCATCTTTAAACAGTATTTATCATATTAAGGATAGTCCTCTATAATAATTACTCATATCTAAATGCCTGTTCAAACAATAATTATTAAGTCTTTGCTGTGGTTGTGAGCTTCTAAAATGACACATATAATTATGCTTTATTCAGATAATAAACCAGAAAAATTTCAATGCATAGAACCTTGACTTTACTATAATAATTAATGGATTTGAAATTACATAGTTATATGCATAAAGAGAACTGCAACTAATATTCTCTAAGGAGTAAATTTTTTATTTCTGACAATTGGTTTCATACACTTTAAACTGCATTTCAGGGCATCTGGGTAGCCCAGTGGGTTGGGCCTCTGCCTTCAGCTCAGGTCATGATCTCAGGGTCCTTGGATCGAGGTCTACTTCGGGCTCTCTGCCTGCCTGTCTACCTACTTGTGATCTCTCTCTGTCAAAAAAATAAATAAAAGTCTTAAAAAAATATTAAAAAAAAATAAACTGCATTTCACTTTTAGGTAACTGTATATAAGCTGTTCTTAAATTATGTATAGTATAAACTTATTTTCTTTTATGGTGTTTATTTTTAAATGATCATATGTGTGTGTTTTGAATCATATAACATAGTAAAGGATATTCTAATTCTGAAAAGATTAAACATAAATGTTGGAACCATAAATACAGTTACTGGAATGTTACTCCATTGTGTTCCCTATTTAGTACCTACATGAAAATGGGATTGTCCATCGTGATCTCAAACCAGAGAATCTTCTCTATGCAACTCCAGCCCCAGATGCACCACTCAAAATAGGTGAGGACATTTCATGAAGTCTTATGACCCCTTTCCCAGAGCAGAAGAAATGTATTCCATGGAATTTAAAAATATTGTTCCATCTAGTTTTGCCTCCATTTAATTTCCTTGGATATTTGGTGTCTGTAAAGGAATAACGCATTGTTTTGGAAGTCTGTAGTCCTTTCCTGATATAGCCATCTGGAATCAGTGCCTAGAAGTTGGTGCTCCAGTTCTGGACACAAAGGAAACATAGCTCTTAGAAATAGCAGGAACTTCGAAAGGTGATGGTGTATTTTGTAAGCTTATATAGAGGAAAATCACAGATAACATAACACTTCTTTTTTTGTTACCTTTTATTCCATAAATTAGTTGGAGCTTAATTTTAGATATTCAAGAGCTTTGACACAAAATGCTTAGTACATATCAGTGAATTAAGGATCTGAGTCACTTGTTTACATGAACAGAGATAAATTGAGGTCTGTCTTTCCAAAAGTGCACTCCACAGAACACCAGTTCCACAGCTGAGGGAACAAGAGTAAATATTCTAATTTGCTTTGGGGGAGGTGGGGTTTGTGGAAGTGCTAAGGTTGGTGAAATAAGTTAGGAAATGCCAACTTAAACAAATTTTTTTATTTCTGCAGGACTAACCAGAACTCTAAAAATGCTAATGTGTAAACTGACGTCTAGATTAGTGTGTTAGGCTTTTCCCAAGCCTTACTTGACTCTGGGAACCTTGCTTTTTCTCCCAATAAGCATTTTGAAGAACTACGAGGATGAACTTTGTGTATTTCCAGTCTACTCAAAGAGTTCTTTAAATCAGCATTTTAGAAAAAGTGTATTAAATGTTATTTCCCCTGTCTTTTCGCTTGCAAATAATAATAACAGAACTTATAGGAATTCTCCTTAGCAGAATCTGTTAAATCCTCTGAAGGACATTGTTCTTTTGTGGCTGGTCTGTGTAATGTTAATCTGATAAGTTCACTGCATTAGAAGTGTTAACACCTTTGAAAATTAAGTTATACATATCATGGAAGAGCCCAGACAATATAACGTGCTTTATGAATGCAAGAACCCAAAGAAAAAATACCAAAGTCCTGCTAGGCAGCCAGCTTGTTCTTCTAATCACTCCTGAAAGGCAGTGAACAGCAGGGAGACTTCCATTTCCTTTGACATCAATTTCAAAGATTTTATCCTTAAAGAAATTTCTTTAAATGGATGGATAGATACTAATTTAGACAGGAGAGGCTTTCTTTCTGAAGGACTTCCTGCTGCTTTCCCTGATAAGGATCAGCACCTCCGTGGAAATGTGGGTTTATCTTTGAAGTCTAAAATGGCATCAATTCTGCACCTGCCTCTCTTGAAGAATGGCCTTCAATGGTTTCCTGATGTTTCCTGAGTGAGAGAGAAGTAGCCCAGCAAATAGACCATAATGGTAGCAACTTTGGGTAGTGTTTTACCTAAGTAATATTCTGAGGAATAAAGAGCATTCTTGGGAAAAAAAAAAGTGTTATATATTCCTCATATGAGAGTAAATCCTTATCCATAAGATACACATTTGAAACAGAATGAACCTTTTGATGTTTCTGCTCATGTCTTTGACATTCACAAAAACCTATTTTTTAATTTTGATTTCTCCCCATGGATTACTAATTCTATATCACTAATTCTATGTTGTACTTTAGAGCTACTGTTTCGTAAATCTCAGAGTTAACATTAGACAAAATATATCTGTTACAACTGTTATTTCAAAAAATAAATATCTTATTTGCCTAAAGCTGGGATTTATAGAGGAGAGCATAAAATGTATTTGGGAGTCATATTTTTCTCCAATTTAAAGCAAGATTCAAATTTTTTTTTTTTTTTCAGTTTCCTCTCCCAGGTGACTTGTCCCCTTCTTCATTCCCCTCTCCTCCCATCACCAGATACCAAAACAAGTAAAAACAAATGAGTCTGTTTTATTTTGAATAATAAAAGTATTCTGTCATCTTATAAAAGCTGAGAAAAGACTTGTTTCATTAAATTTTTCTCTTGTGTTGTTAGCTGATTTTGGACTCTCTAAAATTGTGGAACATCAAGTACTCATGAAGACAGTGTGTGGAACCCCAGGGTACTGCGGTATGCTCTTTAATATTGATGTTTACTTTTACTGTTATTTGAAATCTACTTTTATTTAGGGATCTAATTTTTAAACTCCTAATATCTCTATTTAAAATGCTTACAAGGTAGGTGACGCCTGGGTGGCAGGGTCGGTTAGGTGTCTGACTCTTGATTTTGGCTCAGTTCATGATCTCAGGGCTGTGGGATCCAGGCTTATGTCAGTCTCTGCACTCACTGGGGAGCAGGCTTGGGATTCTCCCCCTCCCTCTCCCTCTGCCTTCCCCCTACTCTTCTCTCTCTCTCTAAAAAATGAAAAATAAATAAATCTTTAAAATGCTTACAATGTGATGTGAGTCTCCATGAGGAAGGCACATAAAAATGATGCTCAGAGCACTTCTTTTTCTCCATGAAGGGTTCAGTGATGTTGGTTTTAGGGTATCCCTCTTAACAGGGAAAGAGGGATCCTCAGGGGGTAAGGATTGGGTACTCTGCACCTGTCTTTTGGGCAGTAAGTACTCTTAAGCCCCTTAGGAGTAGAAGGACAGTCACCAAGAAAAAGAACAAGGGAAAAGCTTTGTTTCTGGTCAGAAATAGAGCCATGAGCCCTCAGTCACTTTCCTTATTTGCTTTTATTTGGGGGGGGGGTGTGCAGAGAGAGTATGTCATTAATTCAGAGGGCATATAGGATAACAGAGAGGATGGGGTAATCCCTAGTTCTTATTGATGGTGCTCTTCTATCCTTACTAAGACCAGGGCTTCAGGTGGGGTTCCCCAGCAGAGTCCTCCAATCTCTAGAGATGGACTGTGTGACTGTCCTCACACATAACTAACTCATTTTAACAGCTTTTGAATTCATGGAAATCAGACTGTAGAAGGCACAGTTATATCCAGTGAAGCAAATATATGATTAAATTTCCAGATTTGTAGCTAGAAGAAGCTTTAAAGTTCACTTACTAACATTCTCATTTTGAGTTCCAGAGTATGACTTTCCCAAGATTCCATATCTAGTTGTTATGGGTCAGAGATGAGAATCCAGGTAGCCAAGGCCCTAAAAACAGATTTATAAAATTCCCTCTTCAAAAAAGCAATATAGGTAAAATCCATATAATTTTCCTTCATAAAAATATCTATCAGTTATTACTTATAGCTTAAAATATTTTTTTAAGATTTTATTTTTAAGTAATCTCTAAATCCAGCGTGGGGCTCAATCTCACAACCCCAAGATCAAGAGTCACATGCTGAACCAGTAAGATGCCCCTAAAATGTTTTTTATTGTATCGTTTTAAATCTCAAAGTATTACTTGATCATTGTAAGAAGTAAAAATCCACGTATGTGTAATCAGTATTAATAACCTTATGTATTCTTCTTTGTCTTTCTCCATGTTTCCATAGTCTCATAAACATTTTATGTTTGCTTTTAACTAGTTAGCTTCCCTAGTGAATCTAAAATATTATTTCCTTGTAGCTCAATTGTTCATAAACCCAATAATTACACAGAATTAAGTATACCTGTCTTTTTATTAAGCATTTACATTGTACCAAATATTCTTGTTCTGGATCTTAAACTCCTCGACAACAAGAGTAGCTTATCAATTAGGAGTAAATTCAGAAAACTCCAGGTAACTGAGGCTTAAACAAGATAGAAGTTGATTTCTCTCATGTTAGAAGTCTAGAGAAAGACAATTCTCGTGGGTTCTGCATCTATGGCTCTGTAGGTCTCAGTGCCAAGGATCCAGACCTTTTCTGTCTGGCTCTAGCATTCTTTTGCATGCGTCCTCAGAGTCCAAAATGGCTGTTTGAAATCACTCATTACATCTGCATTCCATGTGACAGGAAGGGAAGAGGGGGAGAGTATACCTTTTCACTGTTAAATAGACTTCCTGAAGCTCCATGTCACTTTCACTTACATTGTTTTGGCCGGTCCTCAGTTACAGCCTCCATGTCCTTCAGGTGGACATGTTGATGCTCCAAATGGATTCAGGGTACTTTTACTAAGTATGAGTAACACATTAGACAGCTCACTAGCTCTACCACAGACTTTATTAAGGAGTAGGATTCCCATTCCTAGAACAAAACCCATTGAAATATGCCATGTTCCCTATAGGCATATTCTTGTTTTGTTTTTATATATTTTCCTTAGAACTGTTAGCTGACAAGCTGTGCATGACCCGTTCCTTCTAATGGTGCCATAGATATTTCCCCTTTCTCTAGTTCGTATGTCCTTATTTATCATCCTCCTGTATTTCTTTCGTGACTCCCTACACTTCCACGGCTATGAAGGAAAAAAGAACCCTGAATTTAGTACCATGTCCCAGATGGATTTGCCCATTTGTGAGTACTAACTGCTGACTACTTGATAAAAGCATTTAAAGAGAATTGACAAAAGAATGATAAAACAAAGTAAGGATTTCCCAAAAGAGAAAAGCTGATGGGCAGTTTAGTAATCATTATCTGATAGCAAACACCTACTATTCCAAAGAGATAGGTAGGTTGGAGCAATTCTCTGAGAGTTAGCAGCCTTGAAATGGGAAGTTCAGGAAGAGCTTACACTAGCATCATTTCAGTGGCTTTGATAATAGTGATAAGAGCAGTTCTTTCTTGAAGCATTACAGAATAGTCATTCTATGAGTGATTTATTCATTGATAAAATGAACATTGGATGTCTAATAGACTCCATGTTAGGCACTGAGATTACAAGAGTGAACACCATATGGTCTTGTCCTTCCAGGATTTCATAGGCTATTAAAGAAGAAATACTCATATACAATAAATCAAAGTTTGTTATGCTAAGTTCTGTGTTTGAGCTAAAGGCTTAAGGATACAGGGAAGAGGGAAAAATACATCTTCCCTAAAGAGGTTTTTACAGAGGAGGGAATTTGAGCTGGACTCTGAAAGTTGAGTATGAGTGAAGAGGTAGCCACAAGGTATTCTTTATAAGCAGGCAAAGGAAGAGAAAAGTCATAGAGGAGTGGTAGCATCTGGCAGGTTCAAGGACTGTTGGTTACTTTCTCATTTTACACGATTGCAATATAGAGTTTTTGGTACAAAGGATATAGATAGACTTGGAAAAATAGGATGGATCATATTTTTTAAAATAATCTATAAATCAGGCTAAGGAATTCAGACTTTTATTGGTAGATAATAGTGATCCAGCAAAGGTTTTTTATCAGTGTAATTATATTTTAAAATCAAATCTGTATCTTACAGATATCTTGATAATGACATTGTGACAGATGGGTTGGAAGGAGAAAAAAAGTTCAAAAGAAGACAAATTAGAAAGCTATTATAAATTCTCTTTCCTGTCCTTCTGATGTCAGAAATCTACACACAGGGTGCTTACTGTCATTCCTATGAATAGCTTCTCAGAATAATGTATTCAACCGGTGCTCCATCCAGTCATTTATTTTTTAAATATAAAATGCTTATAAAAATACTATTTCAGACTCCTGTCATTGCCATAAACAGGCCCATCTTACAGATAATGCCATCTAATAATGGAGGCTTATTTTCCATTTACTATTTAATTTTCCCGGCAGATACCCACATCACCCTAAAGGCTATGTAATGGGGAAGGAGGAAATTGGTTTACTGAATGTGATCCATATAATCCTTCTGCTGTGCTCTACATAGAGGCTCACCAGGAAGCCGTAATTTGCTTTAGGAAAAGGCTGAGAAAGCAGAAAGGAAGCTGGGGCTGGAGGGAGGAAGGATTGAGAGGGAAAAATAGAAGTGCTCTGTGGACTCTGAAGTGCTACACATGTGTGTAGAATTACTATTATGTAGGCGGAGGCAGGCTTGGAATTCAAAAACAAGTTTGATGTGTTTAATTACAAGATCAAGGTCCAAATTATATATAAATAAACATATATTTCTTCATACATACATATTTCCCAAAGGAAATACGCTAAATTTTACTCAAAGTGGGACTAGAGTTGGGGTCAGGATTTTAAGAATCCACCTGTGTATAGTAACACAGAAAGTACTGGAGGGGCTGAGTTAGGGAAAAACAGACGTCACAGTGACACCAAGGCACAGGAGGTGGATGATCTAGAGCAGAAGAAAGATGCAGAGTTTAAACTCTTAAAAAAAAATCAATAAAATAATATTTCTATTCATCTGTCTTAGAAACAGACTGTTCATAGGCAAGGCTGAAGCCCCTTTGAGGGTCCCTCAGTTCTAGCCTTTCTCCCCACACCCCATGTGAGTACTGTCATGGTGTGGTGTGTCTTCTCTGAGAATACTTAGGTGGGGAGGAATCTGCCCATAGATAGAATGAGTTGGAAATGAGAGCCAAGTGCAAGACTGGTGGGAATCACTGCCATCCTACAGAAAGCTTAACTTACACAAAGACTTTACATTTGACTTGAAAAGGGATCTGAAGCCCGTATAATTGATGGAGAAGAGAGGTGTGAGCTTGTTTCCTTGCTTGTTGTAAGGATAATTACATCCCAGGTCAGTTAGCTTCATGTACACTGGGTCTAGTTTCTACCTTTACTGAAAGGCTTTCTCAGTTACATCTTTTGAGGGAGTGGGTATTTATATTATACCATCTGTCATTTGTCAGGAAATAGACAAGTGTAAAGCCACCCATTCAGTTTCATTCATGGAACCTTTGCCCCAGGCTATTAATAACAGAGGGTTCTCCTATAAGTGAATTGCAAAAGAAAAATCACAGATGCTGTGTGTTTAAGCAAATACTCATTATTTCCTGGGAAATGTGCCCAGTTGAAAATAAACTCCAGGCCAGAAAATTAAAATCTGTGATCCAGATAAATGAAATCAATGAATAGTGCTCTGAAATAACCATGAAGAAATTCCCCACATCTTGTTGCTGGGAAAAGAAATAGGTCTCAAAAAAAACAGAAAAAACACCCTCCCCCACAAAATCCATTAGGTCATGGCTCTTGATAAATGGGCCACAGTGTATACAACCAAAATGTCTTGACTGGTTTAGCTATTTAAGGCTTGAAGTCTGTGCTTGTTCACCCTACCCATGTCAATCACAGAAAGGAAGAACA